GATTTACCTCTTAGGAAGGTGACACAGGAATTAATTCCATTTTAGTTAAACTGATATGAAGCTGAATTCCAGTGTGATCATAATGTAAATTAATCATATACATGTGAGAGCATCCTTTGTCTACATTAACTTTTTAAAAATCTGAAATCCATATAAAGCTACATTAAAACAATGCTGTTAAAAGTTGCAAAGTTGTACTAGATCTACAATTCTGCAAATATAGTATGTTACGGAGGCCTGTCATCATCTGAGATAAATTGGACTTTAATTGCAGAGCCCGTATTCCTCCCTAAACTATTTGTGGCTTCAAAACTGTGCTGGGACCTCAGTAATGCTGATGACCATGCATGGGAAAACTAGAACACAAGCAAATTAAGGGCCAGTATCTATCATGCAGTTCTCTGAGGTTTCTCTAGAGCCCTAATTTGGATAGATTTTCACTGGGATAACTTTTCTTTTTAAACTCCTGACAATGCATTTCAAATTTTTACCTCAATGAAGGAGAGTTACAACCTTCAGAAAAACGTTGTCAGCTACCATTGCCAATGTGGCCTATACTTCACAAACCATGTTCTTGAACAACTGTAAGAATAACTGCTCAACCTTTCTGGGGTAGGGGGCGGGGGATAAAATTCAGCCATGGCAGAAACCAAACATGAAAAAGCCCAATACAAGTAGTTAAAAGCTGGCAAAATTATAAACATCTGGGAACAGAACATTACCATAAAAAGCTGAGGCACTCTGTGGAAGTATCAGTGGTAAGCCCTGTATATAATAAAAGGCAAACAAAGCTTAACAAACACTGTCAAAGCATCAAGGAAGTGGACTTTAACTAACAGACAAGTAAATTTCACTGAAAGTCAGTGACTCAGTATCAGCTAGATTTGTAGTGCTGTTTTTGTTACCTACAAAAAGCCAAATTCTCGGTTCTTTTGAGCTGGATTTTTGCTATGATGGCCCTAACAAAATGAGGAGTTGATCTGACTTAAAGCAACAGAGAGTTAAGCTTGTGATTTTATACGCAGTCTCCAACAATAGCATTTCACGAATATGCACTTTGTATTCTGTTACACACTGAGAGAAGAACTTACTGCCATTCAGGAGATATATAACATGCAGGTGGATGTGTAATGTGTACATAGACGGACAGCACCTCATGAGATTAACTGCCTTGAGGAAACACTCTCTCCATGGAAACTTTACAGGACAAAACATGTTTTCTCTTGTGTGTGAGTTGGGGAGTAGGTTTGTCAGCCCAGGGCAACAAATTAAAAAGATTGTTTATGCTATCCAACTTGACCATGTTTGTTACTAGGCATTTCTCCTTCTCACCTTCTAATAATGGGGACAGTAACTTTGTAGCTTTAAACAATGACTAATTTGTTCCGTTGAGGCCAAAAAACACTCAAGTGACAAAAAATAAACATTCTAGGAAACAAAGACTACAACACATTCATGAAAATTAACATTCATATCAAATAAGAGAATATAAAAGACTACTGCTTTTTCAGGTAACTTTTTCACTTGCATAACTCAGCAGCTGCTCATTTACTTCAACAGAGTCTGCTGGTAAACAGCAGCTAAGAATTTGCCCCTAGAATTACTACTTTAAAAGAGTTTATTTGCAAGCACAGCTGAGTTTCATTTCTTTTCTGCCTATTCTGGATCATTGCTATGCAAGATACATTACCAGGAGTTTGGGGTGATCCTTAGCTTGAAAATTGTTGTTGTTCATGTGCTCTTTGGATACTGTCTAGGTACCTTTGATATCAAGATTGTCTTGATGTAAAGCTGGAACAACATTGTGCTGAATTAGACCCATTTTCTATCACTTAATATAGGCTTTAAATTCGTCCATGGAATGTGTCCACACTAGACTGAAAAGAAGCCTCTTGGCAATACTGAATTATCATACTGAATTGCTTCCATCCACTTGCTGGGGCTGCCAAATTGAAATGATGCATGTCAAGGCAACCCTACACTGGAAAGTAAAAGATAGCCTCTTAAATATTCCATTTATAAAGCTTTTTATTCACAGTCAAATTTAGTATCCCCTCTGAAATATATCACTCTACAAAATTGATACCTTGCCATTACAAGATTTCCACGCCATATTCACTCAGCTTAGTAGTAAAAACAAGCTTTTGCTCTTTTCCCTTTGGTACAGCTGATGAAAACTGAGCAGTTCAAGGTCTGCTTCTTAGATCACCAGCACTAAGTATTCCATAGATCCGTAATCTTCTCCTACAGGGAAGGTTAAAAGTCAGCAAAAAGGCAAACTGTTAGTTCTATCAGTAAAATGTTACAAGTGCATCATATTGGAAAGCAGAAATTGAAGGGGGGGGAAGAAAAAAAAAAACCACCTACCACTAATGCTAAGGATGCTAAGAGTGACCTGCAAAACAAAAGCATTCATGTGGACTTCCTGGAACTTTCTGCAAGGAGTATCACTCAAAGCAAATTAGCAAAAAGAAAAATTACACTGTTGATAGCATATTTCCATACATTCTGTACGGTATGTCTAAATATTTTGATGGTTTTAATATTTTGTACCAGCTGTGGAAACTGGTTTGCTGCTAGGTGACTGTAAAAGTGAGATTTGGTAAATAATTATTAGAAATCCTATACTAACACTATGATTGAAACAATAGACAAAAGTATAGCCAAGCAATTAACTAGTAGAGGTAGTTATTCATAAGTTTTGCAGTTCTTTGCTCTTATGACTAGATGTTCCTGTACGCTAGATGAGAACAATGTTGAAACTGACCACATGTATTGAAGCTGCGTTAAGCTTCAAGATCAAAGAACAAGGACAGGAATAAAGACTTCAAGGACAGCCAACAAGAACTTCAAATGGGTCGGTGGTCGCAAAAGCAGCCCTTCGACTCAAATGGATCCTTCATTGTGCATGATCGGATGTAGGCAGTACTAAGATAATCAGTTGCAATTATTTTAATGTATATGTAGACTAATCTGAATAATATGCAATAAGTTATTCTGTATAACCTGTTAGTGCTAAAGCTGTGGCATGCACACTAGGTGGAACTATCCCCTGTGCATCCAGCACTGCAATAAAGAATGCCTGCTTTCTAAAACTCCAAAACGAGTCTTAGAAAGTTTCTTCAACCGGCTTTTCGGTATCACTGTCACACTGCAGAACTCTAATGCATTTTTTTCCTAAATGGTGTCACATATGATTCTAAAATGACAAACTGCATTATTTACTTTCTGTATTATTTCCCCTAAAATGCTGTAGCCTAACACTTCTTTTTATCACTTCTAAGAAACACAGTCTTTTTAACTAGTGCTCTGTTTTGGCATCTTTACATCTCAGTTTATGACAAAGGAATAACCTGCCCACATTTGGGATGCAACCAGTTTCAATTATTTTGGCCCTCTAAATTGGAAAGTTTCTTTGGCTTCAAGTTTGTCAGACTTACTCTTTTGGAGAGGCAGAACATTTCCATGAAGCCTCATGATCATTTCTCCAATTTTATCCTGATTTGCATGTCAACATTTAGCTGAAGTTATTTTTTTTTCAACTTCTCATTTGCATCAAAAATAGCTTGCTATTGTTTCCTTACACTTTAACTCTCTAAAGCAGCTATGCATTACTAGCCAGCCATGTCTGATGAAAGAAAGAAATGACATTCCAATCAAGTTGTTTCATTTTTTTTACGGTAACTTGGCACATATCCCAGCTTGTAGCGATATTAAACAGAGAAAAGTTTTCTAGGTAGAAGGGCTTTTTGCAGTTGCTTGCAGTAGAGGAGAATCTGCATGAATTGAGTCAAGAGTTCAGTAAGATCTTGCCAGAAGGAACCCTGTGCCACAGAATGCCATTTACACCAATATACCTCCACCCGTGTTTCCAGTTACAGATTGGAGTTTGCTGTTCACAACTGCCAAAAGCCTTCCTGTGGCCAACAGCTGTATAAGCCTTAATCCAGATAACCAAAGTCTCTTCTTTGGGGCTGCAGAACCAGGTCTTCATCAGTCCCTGGGCAAAGTATATAATTTACTATGGAAACCAGGATTTCCCTTTACATTTATAACGGTCCCAACACGGCAGTTAAAAAATGAATTTCAGTCTACCCTCTTAAATCCAAGAAAATTCTGAATTCTAAGAACATTAAGTTTGTTTAACTTTTATCATTCCATATAACTACATTTTGAGGAGGCTGCCAATGAAACTGCAACATTAATACTTTTTGACAAAGCTTCATGCTAGTATTGGTTTTCAAGGCTGGGAAAAAATAGGATGACTTAATAAAACATCCACTCTTGAGGATGCAGTTCTCTGATAATAAAAATACTGAAGGAGTAGAAATGAGCACCAGTGAGGTGTTGACTTCCCAACTCATGGCTAGCATTCATTAGGGTGGGAATTTAAATTCTAGTAAGATTCCTCCTCTGTTTCCAGCCACAGTAAATTCTCTGTTGGAGAGTTTTTCTACAAGTAGATCTGCAGAAACTATACGTAGCTGGGAGAAGACCTGGTTTCTCAGCTCAAAGATGCCTATTTTGTTATGGTAAAAATCTCTTTACATGGGTGGGACAGTTAATGATACGGAGTTTTCTCCCTGCAACATTTTTTTGAGCAGCATAGGTGTGGGGGGAAGAAATCTTTCACTAGACGTTTAAAGATGCATCTATGAAAAAGATAATTCACTGACTGAAAAAACACTGAGTAGTGGCCAGACATCTACTACAAAGTCCTGAGCCACTGATTTGATAACTGAGTCATTATCAGTCCAACTACATGTATATTTCTACCATTATTTAGAGTTTTACATAATTTTCTCACTACATTAAAAACATTTTCAGAAACAGCAATTTTGTCAGTACTTCTCTGAGCTGGTATGTCTAACTAATATTAATTAACCCGTAATATATTTATAGCAAAATCAAGACAAAACAGGGAGGTGTCACACACACCTTAATGTTCTCTTAAGATATTTAAAGTTTATTAATACTTTAATTCACTGGTACTAGTAGCTTGCTATTATAATAGCAATTCTTTGCATTATATTGGCATTAACTAATGCAGAATTGGTATTTTTGCACCATATTCAGCACATACAACAATGGGACTAGAAGTCGCCCAGATGTTTTCCTTCCCTTTCAGGCCCTGTAGAACCATTCTACAAACCATAGCTCATACAGATTTATGCACACAGCCACCGCAATAAATGTTCTTCTTGTCAGCTCCTATTTTGAAGCAGGAAAGTTGGGGGCTTTTATTCCAATAGTCATGTAGCTTTTCCAGGGAGGAACTTTCACAATGTTCAGTCAAGTCATTTCACATTTGAGACCTCAGTAAAGTTAAATACCCATCCTGAAGTCTAGATGTTCCAAGAACACTTCAGTGTTCTTCAGTCCAAAAACACTTAGCATTCATGATCTTGTATTTCAAGTCTCTTTCTAAAAAGGCCGTTAGTGAACAACAAGCACATGGTGACACTTCTTGGCTTGTGGGGCATTTGTCTGGGTTGTTTTCTTTGTGTTAGAAAAGAAAAGCCACAAATCCAGGCTGTGAACAGCCATACTGAATGATACAAGCCTTAAAAAAAGTTTACAAAGTTGAATTTGTTACATCTATTTGAACTACCCTATTACAAATGCCAAATACCTGTATATAATTAATTATACCAGATGCACTTCTACCTCAGTCAGTCTTAGCTAATAGCCTTGCATTATTCTTGTTTAAACATTTACCAGTGAAACCTGTGTACTTTACCGGACACTGAATTATGATCCTTTTCAGAAATTATCCTTTTAAAACAAAAGCTATAATTGAAGCTTAAGAGGAAAATCATGTAATGGAAATGTCCTTCAATCCCCTTCTAATTAACAGCACAGTGCGTAAATACAAGCTGAGCTACTCATTTCCTCAAGACAATGCCTCTCAAAAGTACAAGATGTTATCTCTCAGAAAATCTCTATATTAAAGTGCTCTGGCTTGTGCCACTTTAGACCGCTTCTATCCTATTTTCTTCCCAACTAGTTCATAGGACACCCGGCCTTTTTTCTTTTTTTAAATTGATGGTTTTGAGATTAACATTTTGAACCTCATGCTTTGCACATGCAGACCTCTACATCCACACAAAGTCCAGAACTCTGTTTATAACAGTCTACAGCTGTCATTTGCAGTTTCAGGTTGAAAGGGGTACAAGACAGGACACACAGACTTCCAAATAAACTCCATCCAAACCTGCTGAGCCCACCAAAAGAAGAACTACTTTACACAAGCATTGCTATCTTTGGCCAAGAACACACTTCGGGTGTTTTGCATTTTTAACCTTAATTGGACAAAAAAGACTCCCGAGTCCAACAGCTCTTTCATTTGGCATAACCATGACATTAACCTATAGAAATAAATCATTCTCATTTTAGCTTTCAGCTGGCCTTTCACGTGCATACTCACATGACCAGTCCTGTAGATCTGAGGCACCTACATGAGCATATACACGAGCAAGTTCTCTTGTTAGTTGGATTAAAGGAATCACTATTTATTTAAAGAGTTTATCATAAACAAAAATGTGTAAATTCATACCAGTCACTGAAAAAGTTTCTAGAGATAATGCAACAATTACTTGCCCTTAATCAACTTGTCAATGTATCGAACTTTTACTTTCAAATATATATTTTTAGATAGTCAGTGGCCAGAGAACCTTCATTTTAGCACCTAATTCAATTTAGTCCATATTCTGCATTGCATGATGCAGTACAACTCTGTAAGGACAGTAACCATCCACTGTACATCATTCAGCTTGCAGTACTATAGGTATACTGGATTCATTTGTTTTTATCATTTAGTCTGTCACACTAACAATATTTTCCAACCAGTTTTGTAGACTGCTACCCAAACTGCATTTTGGTGAACCAAAGTGTTTATTATTGCTTCATAAGTAGTGAAGTTACTGCTAATTGTTAAATAGCTCTTGGGCAGATAATTGAGTTTTGGTTTGCAACGTATTGAAAAATGAACTAGTGAGGTTCTTCTAAAGAAACAAACACACCTCCTCTCCTAAATGACTAAGCTTCACATTCTGAGGAAAACAAACAGAATATTTGTAAGACAGAGAAGTAGTTTTTATTGTACTTTCCCTAATAAAGATTTGAGAAACAGCAATGGATGACCACACTCCTACCACCTGAGAGCACATTTCTCTCTCTCACAGTGTCAGCAGTAAGGGATGAGCACTGCAGCCAAAATTCCAATCAAGTTCCTGCATGTGGTGTTTCCTAATAGCTGTCCCCAGCCTGCTCCTTTTTGCAGACCCTACAAATTGCCCCTTTGGGGATATCTATTTTTTCCATTGACTAGACACAGTGGCTTAGAGTGGAATCCAGGCTGTTTGCTTGTGGCCCTTGCATCTCAGTTTTCTCAGAGGCAATAGAGTAAGGGAATATGGCATGTGCTCAAGTTCAGAAGCTGAAGAGGAAAGAGTTTAACACAGTGAATAAACCTTACAAAACTGTACAAATACAGCATTTCACACAGTGATGTAATGAGAAAGTAAAGATGGCTCTTTCATAAACACCACAGACTGGATAGCATTGTTTGAGACTTTTTAATATTCAGGAGATTAAGGATGTATAAAAAAGTGTCCATCATTCAGCAGTAAAAAAAATGAAACTTAGGCATTATGAGCAAAACATCACCAGTATCTATTACCAGCAAGTGTAGGTCAGGTCATTATCATTTGAATAATGAAACGTTACTTCTCTCACATCAAATGGCACTTTCAGATACACATACAATGCGATCACCTCAGTGACAAGTGTTCTGGACAAAATACAATCCTGTAAAATTCTTAAGTATAACTTAATCAAGATGTTGCTATACAGCACCTCTGCAAGATGCACGCAGTATGCAAAACACATTTCAAAATAAGTTCTAGATATCTCTGATTTATATAATGGGAAACAAACATTTAGTCCATCTTTCTCTTTTTTCCTTTAGCTGGAGTTTTGGAAGTATGTTCATTTTCAGCATTTGGTTCCCAGAGTGCATTTCTTACAAATCTAGAAGCAGCTCCTTTATCGAGTTTGGATGCCTTTTTCTTGTCTGCTATTTCTTTGACCTTGTTCATGTATGTTCTTATTCTCTCCTAGGGGGAGGGGGAAAAAAAAAAAAAAGGAAGAGTGTATTTCATACCATTCTCCAAAGATCGCTGCTGAAATAAAATCAATGAGTAGAAGCTCTCCACACTGTACATTTACATAACTATAATACCTAGAAAAATAGCATCATTTAAATATATACCAGACTCTTTACAAACTTGAGGCTTCCCCGCTTAGCAGATTTTCCATCACAGATACCTACTATACTAATATCTGCATGACATCCACTGTCATAGGAACATGAAGTCCTACAGACATGAAGACTCTGCATCTAATTTACAGTGAGATGAGAACTGTTCTTGCAAGCAAAGTTAGAAAACAAAATACTGAACTCAATTTGGAGTTTGGCCTATATAAAGATGGCAAAATAATATTTAAATATTTGACACATATATGAATTACACTGTCTGACTACTGTCTACAAAAAAAAAAAAAAAAAAAAAAAATTCAGCATGTCCAAGCAAAGCCAAAAAGCATCTTATACAAAATCAAAGATGTTACAAGCGTTACACATGCAACTACACAGAAATCTTGTGGTTAAGATCCTGAAATGGTCAAGGGTACTTACCAGTGAACCTATTTAAGGCAGCCTGATGAATTTCCAGCTGTACCAGAAGTTCCTTTTATGAACATAAATAACAAGAAAAGCCTGTTTCCACTGCCAAAAGCAAGGGGATACTATCTTGCCATCTTAGCCTACCATAGTCACCTGGTGTCTAAGCTTTTTTTTGAACAAAGCATGGCTTAGATTTGCCCCACCTAAGTATACCCTCCCAGCTTAACAATCTCATTTATGTGCCTACTCATCCTCATCTACTTCTGCAATCAATAAAGAAAATTACTTTTAGAGGGTAACTAAACCCCTCTAAGATGTGAATCACCCTCTGTTACGTGACTGCTTCTCTTCACTGACTAGAGAGGACACTTACAGTAGTTCTGTAAAATACATACGAGTTTGGTTGATGGATTTCATGTCTACGTATTTAGCCTAATATGGCCTTCAACTCTAGGGCCTTTAGGTGTTACTGTAATACAAACAACAGTAATATATATACACATAGATATAGTGCTCTACCTGATACCTGAATTATAAATGTTGATTAACAGAACATTTATGGATACTGCTAACTAGATAAAAGTTAATACTATGTAACACACATTTCTCAAACAGCCATTGACAGCACTTTGAATCTGGAACAAAAGTTACAAGACCTACACTACAGAACTGATTTTCAGTTCTTCAGTGACCATTATAAGCAACTGGTTTGTCAAAAAGTTGGCCACTCTTTCTGTATCAAAAACATAGCTTTAATGAGACAGGCTTTACAGGGTCTGAAATCATGACAGACTGTAATATTTCTTTGGTGACTGAGATGGCTAATGAGAACAGATGGCAAACCTACATCTATCAAGATGGGAAAAAGGAGCTGACAAATGTCAACGTGACAAAAGAAATTAACTCTGATAGCTTGAATGTGAGTTTTATTAATACAGTTTCAATCCCCGTGTATTCTGTGTACACAAGGACAGCAATTCTAAAAACAAAACAATCATGACAGAATCGCCTTGTTTTATTCCCTCTCCACATGAATAAGAACATCACAATGTTCTTGGAAGGAAGGAATGTGTATTCATTCACCTTAATAATTGTAAAAGGAAAAGAGAACTGGATAAGAATCTAGGCTATAATAACTCACTCATTCTTCAGAGTTAAAATGACTGGCAATTGTGAAGTAAAATATCAGCATAAAATATCCACAGCAGAAGAGATAAAATTTATTTTTTAGTATCGCTAAATTAACACAATATTCAGACACTATATAATATAGGAGGAATAAGAAACTGACTGAAAGCTCGTGAAATATTAACCGCTCCATTTTTTAATATGATACAGTCTAGACTACTGAAAACCTCACAAAATTAAAAATAGAAGTATTCTTGTTATTCAGGCTAGCTTTCCACATTTATCAGTCCTATCTTCCGTTCCGCTAGTTATGTAAGGATTACATTTAAGATAAGTATTTTACAATTGCCCAGATTTAGTATTTTCATTTATACAGGAATTAAAATGTGTAGCTGTAAGTTCTGATTTCTATTTTTTCTTCAGGCTAAATGATTTGACTTTTTAAGTCAGCAGAATTTTCAAGATAGCCGGCCTTCTATACTGTAGTCATGCATCTAAATGGAATATAAAGACAAACCTAAAAGATTTATTATAGGTTGTAAATATGTCACTAATGCAGAATTACTGGACAATACACATACAACTGGTGCCAAAAAAGCTTTTAGCTTTGTTGCTGAACTGGATTCTTTACTGCTGAGAAAATGAATTAATGGAGAACTTGGAAGGAGGAGGGGGGCTCCTTCCCGTCTTTGCTAGTAAATCAACCACACTATACTTTTAGAGTCATACAAAAGTAAGAAAAGGCAGCCTTAGAGATTAACATGATTCCAAGTATTTATAAGAAAAAAATGCCATACTGGAAGTTATAAATTATTATCAGACATGTAACATTTTTCCATTTAACAGATACAAGTGAAAAGCTGCTCTGTTCAGAATCCAATTCTCAAACAAAGGTGGAGAAAAGAAAAGATGACACCATTCATCTTTTTGTTCTTTTCTAATTTCAGCAGACTACAACTTTGCTTTAAACAGTATTGTTTGGAACTAAAAATATTACTTTCTTAATTTAGAGAGCCCAGCAGGGCATATGAACAGTTATATAACACCACGTAGCATATGTGTGCTATTATGGCAACATACCAGTTTTAAACATAGATATAAACATTTTTTTACTTCTATATGAGTTAACTGTCCTGGACAAGTAAGATATTGCAATGCATGAAGTGTAAGAATCTTACCAGTTCTTGTTTCACTGGATGTTCCTTTGGATTGATTCCCTGAGTAGCCAAGTATACTACAAGAAAAAAATATTTTTTTGAAACTGAAGGCTGTCATGACTGAGGACGCAATCAATCAGTCACATAGGAAAACTGTAAAACCATTAATAAGAATTGGAGTTAACTGTGTTGTTAAGTATCTGACAAACTATTATCATCAAATATTGCAGCTAAAAAAAAAAAGTCTAACACGGTTACACTTTCTGTCTTTAAAAGGACAGGAAAAGTTGCCATGAAAAAAACCAGAAAGAAACATCCTCATGCATGTAAAAAGTCAGCTTTTGTAAATATCAATTTTTGATTTGGAGTTTCAACATCATTTACCCTACGGATGGCAATAATTTGGGTCCTTGGGGTAATTACAAGTTTCTAATTATTTGGCTTTTAAATATGATTATTTAATGTTTGCAGCTGTCTAGAAGGTGTTCAAATGGCAATCATAAATACTACTTTTTCCTCCTACCACATACTTACCCCAGAACATTGAATTTAACGTGTACACCGAAACCAAATCCAGCTTTGCTTGCTCAAGAGGCTCTAACTAGAATGAAAAAAACCACCACATTTGGACATTTTTAAGCAAGATGTGCACAGATTTTAGTAACATGCACATTTTATAATTGTGAATGTATTCATAAAAAAATACACACTGAACAAGCACATTTTTGCACCACAAGTTCACTGAGACCATGTCTATGCCTATTTCCGTGCCATCACAGAACCATTCTTTCTGTGCAAGTATTCATGTCATTTTCCCAGTCTGATGTTAAATGCCACAGTCCCATATGGCCAAAAGCACAAAAATCTCTTGGCACATAGCTCTTAGACTACTGTTCCCGTAAGTCAGAAGTAAGTACCATTTTTTCCACAGAAACTTAATTCAAAATAGTTGCTGCTATCAATGGAAGAAAAAAAATAAAAAGTCTTAAGATTGCTGAAGCTCAAATGTGAATATAGTATGCTACAGACAGTCAATGAACATTAATAGCACACATGGTAGATTGTGTGTTCAACGCATGCTGGAATACTTAGGGCTGTAAAGCGAAGAAAGAATAAAGGTAATGAGGGTTTTTTTTTTCTTGACTGTCAAAGTCAATTTATTATTTTAGTCCTATAGGATTTCCAGAAACTCTGATAACATCATTGTACAGCTCACTAGTTCTAACATGGATATTGTCAAAAGATCAGTGTTGTCAAGACTGTTTTCTTCATAATCTATTTGTGTTAAAAATCCTCAGACAATGAAGAAGTTCCTTCATCTGCTGGCTTTTTCTTGCCCTACAGAAAGAAATTACATGTTAGGCTTTAAACATTAAAAGATAGAGAGGCTTGTATGAAGTCTTCAGGCAGTACCTCACTCTGTCTTTATGCACTGAAAAAAACCCACATTTTACAGACTTAAGCTGATAACATAGCTAGAGGAGACAGCTCAGTTTTTCAAGCACCAGGTTCTGCAAGTCTAGACTTCTAAAATCAGATCAATTCTCACTGCTGTCAATTCATTTTTACATCCTTCCGGGTATACTAAGTGCCATTAAGTTTTTTGTGAAAAGGTCTCAGATGAAAATGGGAATGACCTCTCTGTTATGAAAGACCACTCAACATGCACTATAAGGAAGGTCAGGAATAAGCTAGAATGTCCTCTACCTAAATGACTCACTGGTAAGATCATCACTTTTCAGTTTGGAAGAGCATATCTTTCATTGCTTAGTTTTTAAGACCGTCTGGATGTCTTAGAAATGTAAGAAGTTCAAATATTAGGTATCAAGGGTAGGATGTGTCTTATTTGTTATTTCTCTATGCGGTGGCTAGCCTAACAGACCCTTTTATTTCAGTTTGTGTTCCCAGGTATTCTTGTATTAATAACAAAAAGGTTGTCAAAAGGAAGATTATTTACCTTTTGGAGAAGCTCGCTCCTGGAAACTGACATCATTGTCTTCAGCATCTCATCTACAGAACCAAGAGATTTTTCAAATGCTGCAAGATAATCATGAATTTCAGTGGGGTATTCTTCTGTGTTAATATCATCTTCTGACATTTCCATCTGGAAAGAGGAAACAAAACTAATAATCCTTTTCATTAAGTCCCTACAGAGTCAAAAGACCGTATTTTACAATACAAAGCATTAGCATTCCTTCATGAAACATTATAAGAAATGCCTACTTCTGAAGAGTTCTAGCAGGTAATGTCAATAGTGACACAGTTAAAGGTTCTATAATTTCAGGGATCTCTCCTAACTGCTGTGCAAAACAGCATGAAGGAGAATTACAAGTGACATGACTGTAGTACCTATTCTTATAACAGTCCCAAACCAGCATTTAGCTTTTATGGTCTGTGATAGAAGGAAATTACTTGCTTGTTTAAAAGAAGTGCTCTATAAATCAGAGTATATAAAGAGCTACACCAAGCAGCAGGCAGGACACTAAAAAAAAAAAAAAAACCCAAACCACAAAAAAAACCCCAGGGATATGGCTTCAGCCTGTCTTAGGAACAGTCATTACTTCAGTTTTATAGTGGTTATGCAGCACCAGTTACACCAGGGTCAGTTACATCTTCCAATACTAAATTTAGAAGTTGGTCCGAGAAATTCTTCTTGTGAACCCTGTATCCAGTTTTCTGAATTCTCTATGGGGTATTATAATCTGTGATATAACTCTACCAGTAACAAAGCAAAGCTGATTTGGGGATTTCAGAATACTCTGGAAATCTTGTAGACACATCTATGTACAGCAACTGTGAGATAAGCAAAGATGTGAAAAATTCCAAAGCACTCCTTTTTTGATCCCAGCATTCATGGTAACATGGCATGGCTACTGCCAAGCCATCTGGCTGCTGGCTTACAATCAGTATCTTTAATTCCTCTCAAATCATAAATCACATACTACCTTGCAGAGTTGACGTTACTTAGAGCTGTGTTATTTTCTGTTACTTCTACTGATTGAGCAACAACTTTTGGAATGTTCTAAGGAAAGAAGAGAAGAAATAGATAATTTTCCCACCCATTTGGTGAGCTCCATCAAGAACAGTGGGAGCACCTGGATCACTGCAGTCCTTCCTATTTAGGATTAGTGTGATAATCCCACTACCCAGCCACTGAGTACAGAGGGCGGGAACATAAATTGGAGAAACTGCACTTTATCTGTGAACACCAAGCCAAGCAGCCAGTACAAACAGCAAGGAAACTGCAAACAGCTGTCACATCACAAGTTTGTTTTAGATAACGATTTGATTTTTCGCTCTTCCTGGCAAGAGCGTGGTATGTGTGAGAGAGGTTTCTTTTTATTTATATTGTCTCCTGGAGGTCAAACAGGAGGAAGATTGGGAGGAAAAACAGTGTGGAGCTATACAAGCTTGTCTGCAACTCCAGTTTTAACCGCACCAGCGTGTTTCCAGAAATACGATCAGCCAGTTAACAAGCCCAGTTGCACTGCTGTTGTTTGCATAGTTTAGAATTATAATCCTACTCAGCTGCATGAATTTTCATCCTGTTCAGAGCTGTTTTTCAGATCGAGTACAGAATCGCAATGCTAACCATGACATGTTGAAGGACCCCTCCCTACCCTAGCATGTAACTCACACATGTAAATACTGTTTCAGTCAGCTGCAGCAGACTTTAGCAAGAAAGCTGAGCTGGACCTACAAGATGCTGCCCACAGAAAGGCAAAATACCAATACATTTATTTCTGCCATTTACAGTAGTATTGTTTGTGTTTTGTTCTGTCCTGGCCACCTGCATTATAATCACGCTTCTAAGGTTGATTACAGGAGTCCAGAAACAATGTTTATTATTAACTTTTTGTCATAAAATACAGCATAAAAAAACCTCAAAGCTACAGAAGAAACTAGATTTTCCCAGCCATTAATACAGTTAAACTTGGTTGGGTGTCTGTCAATACACATTTACTCTACTTACACATACAGGGAGAGAGATGTAATCCAATCCAACAATCATCTAGAGAGCTTACCATCACTACAATGCTTATCTACTATGCTCTTAATTTGATGGACAAGCATGAACATAGTGATAAATTCCAACTTTTCTCTCTCCCTTTATCAGGGCATCCAGCACCAGCAACTGCAGGAATAAAAACACCACCAACAAAAAACTGTAGCAGGAATGTGTTATCAATCAAAACCAACTCGAGCTATTTTACAGTAGTTGCCAAGGATAAACAGTCACTAGAGCACATACTGTATTCTTTCTAATATTCCAAGCTAGACCTAAAGAATGAGACAGAGAAAGAATAGGAAGATAGAAGGAAAGATAACAGATACAGTCCAAAATACATTTGTCTATGATTGCTGTCTCATGAACCAGAAGAAATTAAGTTTGCCCTTGTATCACGAAGTATTTGACACTGTCAAATTAGCAAGGAAAGGGAAAAAAAAGCATCAGCCTTCAATGGAACAAGGCTGCAAGTTAGCCTGTCTACAGTACCCTTCATTGGTAAGTCCACTCCTTCAGCCCAGGGAGGGGAAAGAATTTGTTAAACTTGTGTTTTCTGTTCATTTCAACAGGAACTAGCAAGTTCCTACTCCTGCTGCATAAGGACCTCTCTCTTTTCATTAGACTATTGTTTCAGCATTACTAAGCAGGATATGTTACAGTGTCGGCACATGCCAACAATAGGCACCAGTCAACGGCCTAAAATAGTTTTGATAACATTAAATCAACAAGAGCAAACTTACACTACATTAGGAAATGTGTACACCAGAAACTCCACAAAATTGTTTCTGCCAAAATCAACACACAGACTGCATAGTCACACCTACAGAATGACAAAGCCAAGGATGGGATGAACTAAGACCACATCAGTGATTCTCTAAAGATACCTAAAGGCTATACCACCCTGAATAGTTATGTTTCAGTTATTAAACCACAAACAAAATTTTCCTCAAAGTTTTAAAACTGTTTCTCTATATAAGTTGAACAAGCAGAAATTTAATTCAGTTCCTGAAGTTGATGTTTACTACACAGGTTTTCTCTGTTGAATTTGCTGACTTTCAAACAAATTTTATTTGGCACAGATATCCTGCTTAAAAAAATTAAGGACAGTACAAATATTCAGATAAGAGAAGTTATGAAAATACTTGCTGTGTAAGCCTGTGAATAATGGGGAAATCTAAGGGAAATGAGGATAAGACAGCATTTTCATTATCAAGTAATAACACTTATGATGCAAAACACATAATGTGTGGTTGCATACATGTTGATAATACTTTGCAAGATCTTTAACTTTGAGAATGCAGAGGAAAGTTTACAACCCATAAACATAAAATAGAAGAGAATAGGCCTACTTTGATTAAGGACACCGAGGCAAACAAATAGCAATGAAAAATGTGGTATGACTTCATAACATCAATCTACCAGAAACAACTTTCCCTTTTAACCCGGAGCTCAAAAACTGCCAAGCAGTTTTGGGGAAAACAGCATAAAAGAGAAATATATTTGAGGAAGAAAAGGACTTTAAATCACAAAAGTAAACCACTTTTCATGAGAAAACTCTTTCATTGCATTTAAGTCTGATCAAAAATTGTCTTATAAAATGAGTTTCCACACGTGGAAAATTTCTGAATATTCTGAAATTTCTGAAAAATTCTGAATAAATTCTCATTTACTCAGAAACATGACTACATTTATGTAAACTTCTGCTTAGAAAACAAGGAACATAGTATAAACCAGAGCAAGTATTACACTCAACCTGCAAGAAGGGAAGGGAGGGAAATACCACACATTATGAACCACAGAAAAGACACAAATATGAAAAGGAGAAAGCCAAGAGAAAATACGTCATCTTCTGTAGACCATATAAAAAAAAGCTAAATGGGTTTGCCATAGTGCTAATGTGGCTATTGATCAAAGATCCAACTGAGTTAAATGCTGTATTAAGGAAGTTTAAATAAAAACTAAAACACAGATGATTGCGTACAATACAACTAGCAAAACATCTATCTTCACATTTATTTTTCAGGAGAATGAAGAGAAGAACTTTGCAGACTCCTTCCAAGAAAAGCACACCCATGACTGGCATACAAAGGTAAGAAATGGAAAAAGAGAAACTGCAGACAATTTGCAGGTGGCTTTTATGAATAATCTTTGAATATATCTGGTGCTTTAACACAAGCCTTAGAAAGTAATTGCCAGCTGGTTTAAAAAGCAAAACCAAACCTCCCTTCCTGCCCATCCCCACAGCAAAACAGTATCTGCCTGTATTGGCTTTGTGTGGCAAGCTTTTGGGGGGGGGGGCGAGGGGGGTGGTATGTTACAGGGGTGGCTTCTGTGAGAAGCTGCTGGAAGCTTCCCCTGTGTCCAACAGAGCCAATACCAGCTACCTCTAAGATGGACCCGCTGCCGGCCAAGGCCGAGCCAAGCAGCAATAGTGGTAGCTCCCCTGTGATAACATTTTAAGAAGGAAAAAAGAAGTTGGGACAGACAAAAACAGCAGCCAGAGAGAGAAGTGAGAACATGTGAGAGAAAGAACCCTGCAGACACCCAGGTCAGTGAAGAAGGAGGGGGAGGAGACGCTCCAGGCGCCAGAGCAGAGATTCCCCTGCAGCCCGTGGGTAAGACCATGGTGAGGCAGGCTGTCCCCCTGCAGCCCATGGAGGTCCACAGTGGAGCAGATATCCACCTGCAGCCCGTGGAGGACCCCATGCCAGAGCAGGTGGGTGCCTGAAGGAGGCTGTGACCCCGTGGGAAGCCGGCGCTGGAGCAGGTTCCTGGCAGGACCTGCGGATCTGTGGAGAGAGGAGCCCACGCTGGAGCAGGTTTTCTGGCAGGACTTGCGACCCTGTGGGGGACCCACGCTGGAGCAGTGTGCTCCTGAAGGACTGCACGCCGTGGAAAGGACCCATGCTGGAGCAGTTCGTGAAGAACTGCAGCCCGCGGGAAGGACCCACATTGGAGAAGTTCATGGAGGACTGTCTCCTGTGGGAGGGACCCCAAGCTGGAGCAGGGGAAGAGTGTGATGAGTCCTGCCCCTGAAGAGGATGAAGCGGCAGAAATAACATGTGATGAACTGACCGTAAACCCTATTCCCCGCTCCCCTGTGGGGGTTGGTAGAGAATCAGGGAGTGAAGTTGTGCCCGGGAAGAAGGGAGGGGTGGAGGGAAGGTGTTTTGAGATTTAGTTTTATTTCTCATTACCCTACTCTGGTTGATTGGTAATAAATCGAGTTGATTTTCCCCAAGCTGAGTCTGTTTTGCCTGTGATGGTAATTGGTGAGTGATCTCTCCTGTCCTTATCTCGACCCACGAGCCCTTTGTTGTATTTTTTCTTTCCCCTGTCCAGCTGAGGAGGGGGGAGTGATAGAACGGCTTTGGTGGGCACCTGGTGTCCAGCCAGGGTCAGCCCACCACACTGTCATACTGAAAGATATAAACTCTAATTAGGCCCTGGGTACCTCTATGAGAGATTTTGCTGAAGATGCATGGTGAAAGTAATGGAAGCTACATGCATGTATCAACACGGCAATAGGAAACCCCAAAAGACAGAAGTAAAAAATGCTCAGTGTTAAGTGTCATGCACATGGTTTTCAACTGGAATTAAAACTGCAAGTTCAGGATAAAAATGGTGTATTTGACATATTTTGTAACATGCAAACAGAAAACAAAAGTAATTTCGCATCCTTCATTCTACTTAGTATTGCAACTCACTTCACGCTTCATGTTAATTCTTACCTATTTCTTAAGCACTAGAAGGCCTTGTCTTCATATTGAGCTCAGATCTTTTATTTTTTCAGATCATTCATCTAACAAAAATCAGATTAGACTTTCCTTCCTTTCATTGATATTTACAGCTTGTATAGAGAAAACCAAAACAAACCCCAAACTTTTTGGTCAGGGCATATAAAAACACACTCAAATTCAAAACAAATGCATTAGCAACACCAATATGACAAACCATCTCTGTCAGCTCCTAAAAACTGACACTGTCCTCCCTCTCAAGAGTTCTGACTCACAACCTGCAGTGAATGTAGCTGATGTGCAAGTGCAGCAGAGATGTCCTTTCTGCTCCAACACTGTAGTTCACTGCTGTGACTATAGGGCAACAGAGCAACAAGGAACAAGCATCTTAAATTTAAAGGTACCAGAGATCATGACTAAGTTCTTTGATCACAAGCCTCTTTTGGGCAGAGAAATCCACTTTATTCCATGTTTGCAAAGCTCTTAAGTACGACAGGTTCTAATCTGTGACAGATGCTCCTCAGCATTATTGCTGCATAATAAATAATTAGTTGCCCGCTAGTCATCACTCTGTCCACAGATCTGTTTTGCTACTAATGCCTTTCGAGCCAGCTTGGGGCAGCTGGAGAGCACATCTAGTACAATTAGTCAGAGCGCTCTTGCAACGCCAACTCACAATCTTGTTTGCAAGAAAGATTTCCATTGCAAAAGCAATTAAGCCTACCATGAAATACCAAGTATACACCAACAGGCTTATCTTGATCCCCTTAAAAATATCCCAACTCAAGCCATGGTAGTTACCCAATGCACAACTTGCACTATATTACAAACGGGCAACAGCCAAGCAATCATTTTTAACCCTGCCTTCAAAGCTAGGCTCCAGTCAGCATCTTAATGTGCACAGAAGCCTACAAAACAGCCCACAGCCATCCTGCTCTTGCTGATGCCACCGAGATGAAGTCTCCTGAGCCTCAAAGGATTTGCAAAGTTTATTCCGATCTGTCTTAAAAGAAGATTAACATTTAAAGGGAGGGAATAATACTTTTGAGGCTCACTTACCTGTTTTCTCATGTGATATCCACCATGGGCTAAAGTGTATCTCAGCTTGGCTTAAATAACCCATATTCACTACAGCCCCATATATATCCACACAAACCAACTCTGATGTAAACCTTCAACTCAGCATGATTCTTAAAACATTATTTTTCTCTGTAATCAGCTTTTCTAGATTCCACACCTTTGACGACATAGTTGTTTCCTCTTCTGAGCACAGGACTGGCGCTTACAGCACACCACCGTGGTCTGACACTAACCTTTTTCTGCCAACCTTACCTCCAATATACCTTGGCTCTTGTTCAGCTCCAACCTGTCAGTACCTCCATCAGTAAGTACAATGATAAAACCAGCTTTCTTTAGGTATGTCCAGAACACTTCTTAGTGAGAAGTTTTCATAAAAGCTCTCACACTCAGACTATGCTACCACAGCTCAGTTCAAGACTGGGGCTTTAAAGTGATGTTAAATTTGTACATCTAAACTGGTCTTTAAAACATATACTTTTGCTTGCACTGAACCTAGCAAGAACTTCTTGTATAGCAAAGCACTGTCTCCTTGGCAAAAAACAGTTTACACACAGTGGATTTTTGTTCATGACAGCAATCAATACTGAATATTTCTGTCCTACCAAATTTGCAGCAAACAGGAAATAACCTGCCTTCAGTCTATAGCTCCTGTATGCTCTAAACCATAGAGTTTACTACCTCTTCTAAAATTTGCTGCCAGTCTCCACTGGTATCAGCACCATGAATATCCAGAATTAAAGCCAAGGAGCTTTTCACTCTTTTAAGCTACTGACCTCCTTTGTTTCCTTTAGCCACCAGTCCCACAAAGCGTGAAAAAGTACTTCCTTTTATCAGAATTCAATTTCCTGTATTTGCACTTCATTCAGTACCTTTCTCTACTGTTTAGAACAGTGACCCCAATCTATTTTTGGCCATTCATTATTTGACTCTCCTAACAAGACTCTGTTCAACTGGCAGAAGCACTTTGACCCATTTTTTGGTTGAACATAATGCAGTAACCGTGGGATGTTGTGTTCCAAGCATTGTGTTCTAAGCATCAATCTTACTGATGCAGGAGAAAAACAGGGAAAAACTTTTCTACCTATCCCCTAAACAGAATTTAAGAGCTGATAACCTGACAAAAAGGAGACCAACTACTATCAGCAATGAAAAGGGATGCGCAAAATCACAGAAGTGAGGGAGTAACAGGGAAAACTCATTTGGGGACATGGAATTTTCACTGGGATTGAAATAGATTAAATAAAATATTGTAGGATGGAGAACAGAGATGCACTCTGTCCTGGCACAGGAAGAAAGAGCAAGGCAGTAACCACAGCTTGACACAGAAGGGAGAACAAAGAACCAGGAGAATAGACGAAGCTGGGAAAAAGGAACCTGAGCAATTTCCCAGCACAGAAAAATGGAGCTTATACAGAACAGCATGCATAGGGAACACTGCCTGCGTGAAGAAGTAACTAAATATGGTGTGTATCCCAAGGCCCAGCAGAATGCCTCACGGCAAGCCTGCATGAAGAATAGAGAAAAGCAAATAGTTACAGTGAACAAAGAGAGTTCAGACAAAGGTAACAAAGTCTGCAGCCTCAAAGCTTTCATAGTCTGTTGTTACATCCCCTTGGCATCATCTCTAAAGTTAACAATATTCACTCTCATTGTTGCCCCTCAATCAGTCACCTTTGCTGCTTCTTTCTGTGCTGCCTTTTCCAGCTCTGGTTCTGCAACATCTACCTGGAGCTGTGGTGACCAGTACCATTCCAGTGCACTGTTTATTTATTTAAAGGAACTGATGTTTTCTCAGTTCACCATTCCATTCCATATACATCCCACAATTTTCTACTACCGCCATTAAAAACAAACAATCTTTACTAAATGCAGGCAGTTCATATGAAAAGCAGAGCAACCGTGCACAGATGAAGAATTGATTCTGAAAATCCAAAACCACTTCAAAAAGAAATGCACTTATCAGAAAGGTTTGTGTGACTTCTGCACTGCATTTCTGATAGGAAGCCTAAGAATTCTAATAATCACTTTCAAGCTTCTCATGTTCTGGAGTATAGCCTTGTGTTAAGTGCTTTCTGATTTCTTTAACAAGGGTCATACTGCTACAGGATTAGCAATATCCAAGTATTTTAGATTGGAAGTGTTCTTTTATATTTTTAAAACCAATAAATGTGCCAGACACCTTTCAGTTTTGATTTATTTTACAATCAAGTCTTTCCATTTTTGTCTCAAAAATGAGGCCTTTTAATTAGCATAATCTAAAGTTTAATTTGCAAGTCAAAGTCCCTTCCAAGTTGCTAGTAGCAACTACACTTGCAGTCAGAGTTGTGACAAAGCATAAAGGATATCTTTGCAGCAATATGAGAGAACCGTAACGAAATCTACTTTATTACAAAGTACTTGAGCTTAATAATTTTAACTGTCACCTACTACTTTAACCATGGCCTGTATGTGCAAACTGTATATTCTCTTTGAAAAACACACTCTTCTTACAACAATTACCAAGTTCTCACGGCTCCTTGAGTTGCAACACTATTTTACTGACTTTTGATAGGAATGTAACTGTTCGCTGCCTACCACACAGCCTTCTTAGGTACAACCATCCTAAAGGCACGACTCCATATCCTCTTTTTCACGGGTAACTAAACAAGTTGTGCATTAAACTGTGTTTATGCTCACTAACAAAATCAGTACCGCACACAACTTGACCCTCAGTTCTGGGAAGTTACGGAATAGTGTCCACACATTTGGGACAGGGACAACAGAACAACTTGGACTGCTTTAACATTGACTTACAGCTCCCCTGGAAGCCTAGTTTAGCTCTTAGGCCGCACACAGATTCCTTGATCACATGTCTACCAGGTGAAGTAGATACGCATGCAAACCGAGGCCTTCCCAACAGTTTATAACCAAAATCCCCTGTCCTGACACCTCTTTGTGAAAGATGAAACACCTTACCGATCATTTAGAGACACGGTAAAATGGGATTTTAGCATCTGACCCGACTTCCCGAACGCCTTTGGTCACAAGATTTCCTAAAGGCGCTGGACATACCCTTGAAGACCCACACAGGACTGCAGCTTACAGCACACCGCCGTGGTCTGACACTTAACCTTTTTCTGCCAACCTCACCTCCGCGCCTCTTCTCAACAGACTGAAAACCTACGGGGTGGAGGTAACCCACCTGTGAACAGCCATCAGAGGCCCTGACTCCCGACAACGCACCTCCCGCTTTGCAAACGCCTCTGAAAAGACCCTAAAACCACAGGAAGCGACCTGACCGCGTTCCTAACTCCTACCCCAAGGACAGACCGCCATTTCCCAATCCCAGGACCACCACCGCCCCAGCCCGCCGGCTGCGCCAGACCGCGAGCCGTACCACCCCGCGGCGGGGAAAGGGGGGAGGGAAGCGGGCGGGCCCATCTCGGGGAGGGGCGCAGCACCTATGCAACCCCGCGCGCCGAGTGAGGGCAAGGCTGAGGCGGGAGGAGCCGCTCTTACCTCCGGCCGGGCGGCCTAGCCCCACGCGCCGCGAGTGGGGCGGGGGAGAGCGACGAGGGGGCGGAGCCTCCTCCGACGCGCAGCGGTGACGCTAGTGCAGGGGCCGTGGGGCGCGAGGGGCGGCCGTTCCTGCATGCGTGTCGGCCGTGGGGCGGCTCCGGCTGCCGCGTCCCGGCAGATAACGGCTTGTGGTAGGCCCACACGGCCCTCCTCGCAGTGCAGGTGTTCACCGCGTGTAGCCGGAATACTGGTGACGTGCCAGGTACGGTGACGACAGTGGCTTCGGTCCGTCACAAAAAGAATCGGGCCTGCTCTTTTAGGGCAGAAAACATGCTTTTCGGCAGCCAGCTCGCTTAGGTGGCGGAGGTGAACAGCCGGCCTGTCTCCGGCTGTTCCCAAACGCTTCCAGTTGCTTCCTGGATAAAGGGAGGCACAAACTGGTTTTAGATGCCGGAGATCCTTGTTCACACGGAGGCATCCCAGGGAGTGGGGGGCATCAGTTCCTGACTGAGGTTGCACATCTTCACCTCATCCTCGAATGAGGGTTGGTTTCTAACAGCGTTATCGGTTGTAATTTCCACTGTGTTTCTCCTCAAGATTTCAGAAAATAAATCTGGGTTCAAAATGCAGTGGATTTATATTTCTCCACCACGAGAGCTTGCTGACTGGAAGATTGTACAAACACATCTGTGGCTCCCAAAGATCTGCATTTTACAGACTCACATTTTGATAAATAGTAAAACGGAAGTCAGTATCTGCATTGAAAGTATTGGCGTTCCTAGCCAGAGACCTCTTTCGTCTACTTTCTGTTCACAATCTCGTCTGAAGCTTATTGTAACTAAAGTCTGCAGCCTATCCCCTCCAAGGCAGATTAAGATAGGATCACTAGAATCCTTCAGTGTGGTTGAAGAGGGCCTGTTCTCAAATATAGGTTATGCAGGAGTGTATGTGACTGATTAAGTTGTGGCTCGTTGCCTGAAGGGAATGTGCTGAGCTGGCTTACTCAGCATCAGGGTTTCTAGAGGAAAACAGGTCCAACTGAAGAAGGACAAGGTCAAGGTTGGGGAAACTGGAATTGTGTATTCGTAGGGGGAATAGGACTAGAAGGTCTTAACTAGCTTCAGTGCACTTCTCTGTGCCTTCAATACAATTTAAAATATTGCAAAAGTGAGCGTCCTTTTAATAAATTGGTTTATATCTAAGTGCCATACTATGTCTGTTCTAATTAAATCAGTATGAACTGCAAATGAGAGTCTTTCTCCCAGTTAGAAGCATATCTAAAGATCTTCACATGGAGTAGTTACATGTTTACATCTTGTCATCTCCTTTTCCTCCAGGAGATTTAGAGGTTTAGATTTTCAGTTTCAACCAAAAAAGGCTGCAAAAGCAAGACTTTTTTTTTTTTACAGCAGAGTATTTATAAAAGCAGAAAATACAGGGATTCTTTAAGAGCCTTTCAGCTGTATGTGGGACACACATAGAGACAGTAGAACCACTGGTGTAGGGAATAGTATCCCTACTGTCTGCTACTATTTTAGTGTAGTAATATAATGTTTCACTGAATTTTCATAACCGTTTCTTATTTTCAAAAAACCACAGTCTTAAATATTTTATCTTGTTCATTTTTACTAGTACAACGACAGAATTTTGCACTGTAAGTAGAAGGGAATTTAGGAGAGGTTTTGGGGTTTTTTTTTCCAAAAATTCAGAAATGCAACAGTCTGAAGAATAGCAGGGAAATAGCAAGACCTGCACTCCTAAATAAAATAATACTTTGCACTTCCAGTGCGCCAAGTGTCTACAAGGACCTCAGAACACTTGACATATGCTTAGTTCATTCTTAACTCAGTATTCACATGTCATAGGTTGGGAAATGGAGAGGGAAGTTGATTGATAGACTAGTTGGTTTACCAAATGTTAGGTAGTGGTTTCTGCCAGAGCCTTATTTCCTAAACCCAATATTTTGTTTCAATTACAAGATCAAGGGAAAATGCAGTGCATGCTGATCAATGTTCAGATTCAGTGAACTCTGTTTGTAGATTGTAACCACATATAGCATTAATGCAGTACAGGTTGTACTCAGAGTATTTCATGATCATACAGTGTGGCGCTCTGTCTCCTTCTAGTGGTTCACATTTATTGTAGATTTGCTACTGGGTCCAAACTACTACAGATCTATACTTCTGTTCAGTTAACTGGAGTTCTTATCCAGAGCGCCATAAGTCTTGGAATTTCTTGAGGCAGTTCATTCAGAGGATTACTAGGTATACAAGCATTCGTTTTCTGCTTAAAATGGCTGTGTTGCTTGTTTGGTTTTCAAGAGCAGAGAGTGAGGAGTTAAGGATTTATATTTATCCCAGCCAAAATATGACTGAGATACAGCTCATATAATCCAATTATTTTATGCTGGTGCCACTCTGAAAATATATTATGATTTTATATATGGATATTTACAAAAAAATCTATCCAAGAAAAGCTATACTATATATCCAGTACTTAATGGAAGCCATTCCATTTGAGAGGCCTGTGAATGATTATTGATCTCTCTCTATCATTGCCAAAACAACAGAAAACAATCCTGAGGCAGTGTTCTTTGCAGAGCAGACTTGGAGACCAAATCCTGTAGTCTTGACCTCAATGGAAACATTATACTTACAGCCTGGGTCATGGAAAGCACCACAGCCTGACATACAGACCAGCTGTGGCAGAACTCCCAGAAACAATGCCACTGAAAAAGGTTTTGGAGATGCTCATATAGAAGACAAGACAAAAAAACAGCCTGAATTCTTCTGTTCTGCATCTGGTGTGAATACAGAGAAGGATGCCAGAAGCTACTTGTAACAAAAGGGTTAATGAATCATTGGCAGGATAAAAACACATATGCTAAAATCAGACCAAAAGCAAAAGGTGGTTGTAATAGGCATCTACAGTCATCTTAAGGGAGAAAATAAAGCAATAGAATTGCTTTGTCTGCAAGTCCAGCTTCTTCTGACACTAAACACTCTTTTTGGCCTTTTAATGTGAGTCTTAATGAGAGCAGCAGAAATACTTCATTAAATAATTCAACCTTTCTAAGTAGATACTTTTATCAGGTGTCCACCGTAAGCCCTTTTTAGCTATTACCGGAAAGCCCATACATCCAAACACAGAGAATATTCCCTTTTATTCTGTCAGTATCTGTATTAAACCTCTAGAGATTCAGCAACCATGCTGAAAATGCTAAACCAATGCAGACTTAAATGAGATTAAGTCAGTGAGAGTACAGCAACACTGTGTTGAAACTAAACTGAGAAATTTTGTGTTACCTCTGGTCAGTCTGTAGCTTGCGATTAAAATGTGTGTGTCTAAACTTGTGCAACATCACATTTAAACTATTTCAAGAGTGAGTTAGTCTGTACCTGTGTTACCTGAGCTGCAGACCATTTCATGACAGTTCCTGGCCTAGCATGTTTAAAGTCAAGTTATGGCCAAAGTCATTAAAAAGCAGAGTATGAGGTGGTACCTTTTGAAATCTCAGGTCAGAATGAGCAGACTAGTTTGGGAGATGTTAGTATGTGTAGTACACTTGTGTCTGAAGGGCCTCAGCCATGTTGGGCATTTCTGGGATAGGCATTTTGTGATTGTGAGGCCTGTTTCTTTGCAATATAATCTAATGAATTTGTAATCTAATTTATGGGCAGACCAGCAAGTTACCAGAAGAGGGTGTAGCAGGAGTAAGCTGAAGCATGAACACCCATCTGCTCGCCAGTACCTACCTACATGCACTTGCCACTCAGTGGAAGAGGGGTGAGTACCTGATGCTTCCTCTGGCATATCAGAAGATAAATACTTGCAAAAGGACAGTTACAGACAGTGCCTGACTCAGTGGCATGTTTATGGTAACTTACATCTCTGCCTGTATTCTGCAGAGACCAGATATATACAGGGAGCAGGGAGGCATGGCAGGAATAGAGAGTTTACAGTGATATATTACAAGGTGGATGGTGAATCCAGGAAGAGAGCCCAAGATATCTGGCTGCCAGGTTTGTGGCCCAGCCACTAGATAGGGTAAGAAGGGGAATATAGTCTTGAGGTTAACTGACAGGGATGTCTCACATCTTCAGGAACTAAAAAAACTGTAGCAGTGACACTTAGTACAGTGGAAAAGAAGTGTAACCTCCAAAATTTTCCATGTTGTGATACAGTTTGATGGAGTTGGCGACAGCGTATGTGGCAGCCTAAGCCCAGGTGAACTTAGACTCACCTTTCACTTAAAATGCTCTGGAAATGTCTTTTTTTCTGCACTCAAATTAAATTAGAATGACTCTAAACCCACTAAGCACAGACTCTTTTCCCTTTTGAAAACATAACATTTCTAATCAAAATACAGACATAAAAGTACATGGAAAGAAGGAAACTGAGCTTGATGTAGCTTTGTTTTAGGGAGGAAAAATAATATAATTCAATAAGACTAGCTTAAACCCTCTGATTAAAGCTTTTATAACATAACAGATAGGAAGGATGAGATCTACCCTGAGATAAAAATAGTTAGTACAGATCAAAAGAGCTTGTGTTCATGCCAGCTAGATTAAGTGACAGGATGTGGTGAAGTGCTGGGTACCGTATCTGGTTACTTTACATACAAAACTTTATTAGCTGAATGTAGATGTATCTATTTGGTTATATGCATTTATATATGGAAACTGTAGAAATAAATTGAAAGCAATCTACCATGTGTAGAGTATTTGTTCTGATACTGTTCTAAGATTGCATTTCTTCCAATTAGTATGTAAAGCTATAATTTTTTTATAGCTGTCTCTCTCACTAAGAGTGTGGAAGTAAATTGTATTAGAAAT